GACCAATGGAGGGAGACAAACGGAATGAAGATATTACGGATGACTGACGCGCTGACGTCGTCTATTTTATATCCGCCCTCGCTCATCCGCCATTTCCTCCTCCTCATTTTCACATCGCCAAAGAGCTCGCTTTCCCTCCCATCAATTCGACCGGCCGGGACAATTTCAGTGCGAAATTCACTCGTGACAATTGGTTAGCTCCCATCTTTCCGTAGTAATTACATTGTGAAGTCTCGTAGCAGGGATATGAAGATATTTCTCGCTTCACTTCGACCTTGGAAATCGGCACTTTTGCCCCCCGAGTGTGGTTTTTTTCATCTAGGCAGTTTTAAATCTTTCGCGATTCTGACAAAGACGAATCCGCATTGCGACAACGTCATTTATTTCACGTTTACCTTTCGTTTATCGGTTCGCCAGTCACGAAGAATTCCAGTCGGCTCTTCTCTCGCTTCGGTCGGTCGATCCGCACGACCGGTCGATGATCGGGTAACGTGAAATCGACGTAGCCACCCGTAGTGACCTCTTCGAGCTTCGCGACCTCATCCTCTCGACATGAATTCTCTGGACGCGAAGCGGAAGAGGGGATTTCGAGGCGCGTGATGACGAGGCGCGATCTCTGGTGGCTCCCACGCCCCCAACGCCCCGCTCGTTAGTTGGAGTCAGCAGCGGTCGTCATCGACGTGTCATTCGGCACCGAGAGCCCCGGTTACCACGGGGTGGGGTAACATCCCGGAACGACGAAGGACACGAAGAGACACGAGGCCAGGAAGAGCTCCAATGTGCATCCATCCACCCGTCCCAGCATCGACGACCTGACGCAGCACGCGCGCGGTCCCCGTCATCGAACCGATGCGCCAGCAAATTGTCACGCTCACGGGAACGTTACGAGCGAAATAGCGGATCGATGCGCGGATAGTACTGGGACAAGGGAGTAACGATGCCTATCTTTTTGACACGTAACATTGTCTGTTACGTTTCTCTAAATTTTTTAAAATTTTTTCACCAAATTAGATCGATTCTAGCAAGTGGATTTTAATTACGTCAAAGGAAACATACGATTTCTTTAATTCTACATACATAACTTTTTCCACGTGGATGATTATTGAAAATTTCAATAATTTATTTCGTAATAATTTTAAAAATATGTTTTGTTTGGTATTTATACCGACAGGCTTAGATACGTTATTTCATTTAGTAACGTAATTGAATAATTCCAAAGATAGTCTTGGAAGCAGATCAGAGCGGTCATCAATTCGAGAAACGGCCTCACATCTAATACAGACATTTAATTCATCGTCTATTTGTACTGATTTGAATTCGGGCTACGAACGATCTCATTGTCTCGAGAATTGTCTTAGGGAGCAGTTTGCTCCTCAGGAAGACTACGGTTATTTCAGCTACGCCGTTGCTGGCTATCAGGATAGCGGGTCGTGGATGAGGTTTGCGCACCGCGGAAAGGGGTCGTCTAGAGGCAATCGGGCTAAACTACGGACTCATTTACACACTTAGCCCCGCTTCCGCCTGACTCGTTCCTGCCCCAACCCTCGGAAGAACCCAAATGGTTTTCATATTGTCTTTTTACCGCTCATTTTCATTTTATCGCTTGTTTGGCCACTGAATCGTGCTCTTGCAACGCGGCGCGTTTCATTCTCGTCGCTTCTGCCTTCCCTTCTCCTCCTCTTGTTCCCATCTCGGACGTTGGATTCGTATTCGATGAAAAGATAATCTTTTTCTCTCTCTTCTCTTTCGAATCGAACGGACTTGTTATCTCGGCTTATGCCATCAATAATATCGTAATTTTATTTTTACGAAAGCAAAGCTTGTTAATGTATATATTTATTATTTAATGCGATATTGAAACCAATACGATACACAATTTTGCCTGCGAATAATACACAACGGTTGTAACAGAAATAAAAATAGGCGAAATGTTATATCACGTAATGTCCCGTAGGTAATATTTTTTTCAAGTCAAACAACAGCGCGTCGCCACGACTATAACATGTCAGCCTGGAACGGGAAACCGTCATGGAAAAGCATCGGTGCTACAGGGTCGGGGATAGTCCAGAACGCACCGCCACGAGCACTTAAGACTATTGTTTTCAATGTAATTGGATAGCTCCTGCTTTCCATCTCCCTCCCTTAACCGTTGCTTCTTCCTTTGCCTGCAGCAGCTATCTCGAATCGTGCAGAGGGTGGAAAGCAGCCAGCTAGGCGGTCCCCACGTAGCGACAATTATCTTGATTGTTTTATGCATACGCCAACGAAATCTATAAGCAACTTATCTCTGGAGAAGCTGAACCATAAAGAGAAATTGTGTATGTCGTTTTAACTATATCGATCATACATTTCTTTCATTCAAAGTTGATTAAATATTATTGATCGATGTATTGACAAGCGTAAAACAGATAATCATTATTACATAGTACTCGCTGAACTAAATTTAATGTATTTTCAATTGTATATTATTATTCGTACACACACACACACACACACACACACACACACACACACACACACACACACACACACACACAGACATATTTCGACCACGCTCGAACCACGTTGCGTGTACGCGAGGCATGCAACATACATACACATATACAGGCGCGCATATACATAGAGATGCATCGCGCGATCAACTCCACTCCTGAGAGGGTAGGAGTGCGAGGGGATAGGGGTTTCGCAGTCACGGTGGCGCCTCCGCAGAACGCCGCGGCGGTTCCTGGCGGCGTTCCTCGACCGGCGCCTTCCACTGTACTTTTGCCGCCCTGACGTCCCACTGGGGGTCGCACCCCGATCTCTCACCCTGCGTGGACCATCCGTGAACACCACGCACGGTTCGCCCGTGCCGCTCGAAACGGGAGTGTCTCCGTCGAAAGTTGTCAAAGTTACCGCCTAAACACGCGTTGTCGCGTTTCTCTCTCCCCGTCATTCGTTTTTCTCTTTCTCTCTTTCCCTCTCGTTTCTTCCGTTCCTCCCGCTACCATCTACCCGGCCGCTTCTGGCGTCCTGACACGCAGCACTCGGTGATTCAGAAACCCACCGGGCTCGTTGCCGAAACGTGTTCTCTTCATGGACCAGTCTACTCCGCGCTAACTCTGGTAGTGTGATCTGTGACAGTGATCGCCCAACACTCCCCTCTCTTTTCGCGGATCAGACTCCTCTTCCACCCGCCTGCTTCTCCCCAGTGTCCTTTCAGGCGGCACGCATTCTCTGTTCGCTGACGATCGACAAGGTTACGCAAGGCAGTCGTAGCAACGTGGTCATCGAGGTGGACCCGGCCGTATAACTGAGAATAACATACCGTGTGTCATATTGGTGTTTTTCAATTTTGTGATTCGATTTTACTCTGGGCTTTCCTTACCACCATTTTTTTCCATCTTTATTTTATTTTAAGATCTCGATCTATGTAAGCCGGAGATCCATGAATCTATTGATCCGGATAAAATGATAAATGTGATCTAGATAGACATGATGGACATGATGAGAATGGACTGATGGACCCGCCTGGTTGGCGGGTACTATAAGCACATTTCCGTTGTTTCTGTTATTACATCGTCATCGGTCATTCTTTTTCAAGCATGATAATGTAAGAACGTTAAATTTGTTAAATGAAATGACGTGGTAAACAGATAATTGATCATAGTTAATTCTTGATATTCAAGGATCTTAAAATTAGTGAGATTCTTGAAATATTTTTAGTGAGTCTATTTAAGCGCATTACTTATTTACATCGCTTATTTCATTAGCTTTTCGCAATTAAAAATGCGCCTAATATTAAACGATTTAGTGGTCATATTTTGTGAACACTTAAATCTTCTAATTAAAAATTTTACATTTAAAAATCTAGATCGCCTTTATGTAAAACGATAATTATATTGGCGATTAAACAAATGTGGTGAATCTGGCACAACTTTGTTTTTTCATACTCTAAGATATTCCATTTGAATAACTCATTGGTCGAAAGATCTTTTCTGTATTTAAAGATTGAGATCTTTGAGAAAGACAAAATTTCTTTTCAATAGAATATTATGGACCTAAAAAATTATAGAGTAGGTTACATTTTTATTTATTTGATTTCTTAATCTTTCTTATTTATTGTTTCCTTTTCTTTCCTGAACATTTCCGTCTTTGAGTCTATCCCAACATGACACAAAATTCAACCCAATATGCTTGATGAGAATAACGGAGAAACGTGGTCAGAGATGGACACGTTTGACGACCAAACAACCTTGTAAGATCAATCTGATGAATAATTCTATATGAAATTTTTTAATCCTTCATCTGTTTAGAAAATTTCTTCATGTCAGATACAAAGTTATATGTTCAGTTCGAATTAATTCAATACAATAATTTTTCTTTCAATTATACAAAAAATTCAAAAGTATTTTAGAGTAAATGCAAGCTAAAATATATTTGAAAGAATTCATAAGACTTAGATGAGCGAGAATCTCGGAGATTCACATTTTGCGGTGGACTCGTCTGAACGTGTCCTGAAAAGAATTTTCCAAACGGTATTACGTGATGGTTGCTTGTGATATATAATCGAAGATTTTAATCTCTCTTCCCTCTTTCCGATCGATTTTCTGCTCCAAACTTTCCATCTCCAAACGCCATAAGAAACGTGAATGATCAAGCTTCAATTAAATTAAATCGTTCAATAACATTTAAATAACGATCACGTGAAATTGTCTCCAAGTGATTACGAGTTACGAGTCATTCGGGATAACAGTGGGCATTTTTGCGTTTCCTCTTGATTACCCTATTATCGAGCGAATTTCGGAACGCGAATTCCTCTTCACGCAACGTTTTCCATGGTGGCGCGATGGAATGCTTCGCTAACATCGTCATCAACCTGCTTGTCGTCATTGACAAATGTGTGACAGTGCATCGTGACAGTGAACGATACTGTTAATAAGTGGATGCATTAGGTCCTGCGACGGGCGTGTGTGTGTGTGGGTGACACACAGGCTTCGGTGGTGGTTAGACGCAACATGCGGGAAGGTACAATAGCGCAAGCCGCCACGGCGATCTGCTGGGCCATCGCCAGTTAGCTGCTGTACTTTTCTCTCCTTCTCTATCTATATCTAGTTCTACGTATATACAGAATATCCCAAAACTGTTGCACTTCCCATTAAACGAGAAGATTCTTTAAGATACATTTAAAACTGACTTATTCCTAGCTAAGATCCTTTCTTCTTACTAACGTCTGTCTGTGTATAACATTTATTTATTTTTAAAATATTTTCCAAATTTTTATACCATATCTATTTACCATATTAAATTTTTTCTTATTCAAAGTAATGTAAATGTTTAATTATTATTGTATGTTTTAACTTCTTAGAATTATATCTTTTTTCTTATAAGTTTTTGCTAAGAAAAAGTCAATTTTGAAATAATCATAGAATCTGTGGTTTAAAGGAAATACGATAGTTGTGGAACATGGCTGTATACAGGATGTCCTGTAACAGGAAGGAAGTATATAAAATAATAATGTTCTAAGAGCTATATTTTAGCCCAGGGAGTCTTCGTAAACGTATGTCCTATATAAAGTAAATAATTTCAGAATAATTGAGTACCCTCTTAGTTTTTGAGAAATGTTTATTATTATTGGAATATGCATTATTAGAAATTTTTTCTTCTTTTCTTTTTTCTTTTCTTTATCCTTTTTTCTTTTCATTCTTTCTCCTCTTCTTCTTTATCTTTCTCCTCTTTTCCTTTTCTCCTCCTTTTCTTCTTCTTTTTGTAACGTTTTCTAGTGCAATATTTTTATTAATATATTTATAATATATTTTAAATTGTATTATTTATATATATAAAATATTTAAGTTTATAACGCGTATATAATAATACATATGATGATAGATACTCTTTTCGTAATTGCATCGTAGAAAAATATAATTATCTTTTATTAGTTGCATAATAATTTAAGATAATATTTTTTTAATGTAATTTTTCTATAACATTTTTCCATAAAATAGAATATTGAAGTTATATTATAAAATATAATATAGAATTTTGGAACTGAAATAAAAACTCATATGACAATTCAAATCCTGTTATAGGTCATTCGATAAGCAGAAAAATTTGGTGATACCAAAGGAAGTTTTGGTGCAACATATGTAGAATTTATTTGATTTAATAATGAGAATTATTTTGTTTTAAATATGTAATTATTAATTACAATAAGTGCTTTTAAATGTATATCTCTAAAATATTTTAATTAAATGTTAAATCAAAATGTATCAAAATCCAAAATGTATCAAATTTATAAAGTAATTATAAAACAAACTTTAACTTTTTTACTCTTGAAGGTTTGCGAAACTTTTTTAATTTTTAATATTATCTTGTTAATATTTCAAAAATAGTTAATAAATTAAAAATATTTAATAGAGAATTTTATAGAAATTTAAAATTTTATTACTTATTTAAATAAAGCAAAATTTTAATTAATTTTTTAAAATCAGTTTATTTTTCGTTAAATTAGATTAATACATGACCGAAATTTTAAATGGTATAAATCCAAATTATTCTGTTTATACATATATATATATATATATTTCTCTTTATTGATTCCTCTTATTATTTTTCTTACTACTTAACTTTCCTATTTAATCTCTATTCTTTCTCTTCATTTTTTGAGGACATTAGTTCGTTCTAGAGTACTTTTAGAACTTTTTCTCATTACTACATCTGTCATTTTTCTCTTTTCTCGATCTTGTTCGAAGTAATTATAAATATATTAGTGGAGTATTATAAAGTGGAGTATTAACATTGTTTTTATTTTAATCATTATGCAATTATATTGATAAATATTTAAATTGAAAACATATATTTATGATAATGACTTTGGTTGTCATATATATGACTATGATTGCAGAAGTAAAAGTGCTTTGATGCCAAAATAGAAAAGTAAAATTTGCCAAATCTGCGTTTTCATACTTCGAACAAGGTAGTGACCTTCTCTTCTTCCTGTTATCTCTCTAGTTAGCTATTCTATAGCTCTATTCTGTCATCGCATGCCAAACTAGAGGACTCACCGTTCCGGACTGCCCCCTCTGCGAAAAAGCGACAAAGAGGCCGCCTCCATGCAACATGCAGATGATCCTGGTTGCTGGCGGGTGAGTCCATCATAGTATCCGGACACAGTTACATTCGCAGCCACACACACACCACACACACACACACACACACACACACACACACACACACACACACACACACACCTA